TTAATTCGGTGTCTCATGGGTGCTCACACGGATCGGAAGCTTAAGATTCCAGCTTAGTTGCTGCAACTTTTAATATGGTGGCATGTCCTGAACGACTCAATCTAATTACACAAATATCGATTGCAGGGAAGGAGCTCTTCCTCTACCATTTTGGACACTTTCAACGCGTTTCCTGTTTTACATGCTATTCGCTGAATCACCTGAGTGCCAAGTGCGGTGGGCGCACAGGCAATATTCAAGCAGAGCATTACCGCGTGATTTGCAATATGCCACTGGCGCCTCAACCCGCCAGCGGGTTATTTGTACCCACCTCGACACGCCGACCGACTAGGTCACGTTACTGGATTGGCGGATACTTTGGCGGCTCCGACGGCGTAATTAAAGGTGGATGGCGACAAGAACCTCATGTTGACAAAGGTTTCGCAGGCACCCACCCAAGCTCTGCAATCGGGAGATACAGCGGTTGCAACACTTGCTGGAGTGCCGACATTGAGTGCGTCTTATTGTAGTACCGCTAGGCCGTCTACCGATGAATGGTCTGATCCAGGAGCACGCAAGAAACAGCGGAAGTAACGTAATATGGTCAATCAATCTGTTCCTATGGTAGTTTTTAATGAGTCTTCGCCCCTTCAAAACGCATTCGGTCACTGTTGCCGGGCCTGGAAAGTCTCCTCAAACTATTTCGAACCTCAAGCCAAGCCAAGCCAAGCTCAACTCCACGAACACGGTCGAATTAACCAAGAAATCTCTCCATCTGAACCACGGAAAAAATTCCACCCCGCGGCAAACAGGCTGTGGTGCAATCCAAACCAAATCCTTCCGCTTCTTCTAATTCCAACGAACAGCGCACGCGGGCGGCTAGTGAGCTAGAAAAAAAATGAGCGGGGACCAACATGTCGCCGAAGTTTACTCAACTATAAGCACGGAGGCCTATGCGTCGCTGCCTTTGAAATCTTCGAAAGAGCAGGCAATTGCATTGGCTCGGTTAGGAGTGGAGGATGCTCAACGAGCGGTCGAGGATCTCACTTTAACAGCAGCGGAGACTAAGAGTGCTGGTGACCAAAACTGGGCATGCTATATCGAGGTCAATGCTTGAGCGCTTAAAGAATCTGTTGTTCAAAAGCAAAGTGATGACGGCTCGCCGACTTAATTAATCGACAGAGATGCCAGTTTGCTCAGGATCGAATACACTTATCACACAGCCAGTGCAGCGGCGAACCGCGCTACGGCAGTAGCAACAAAGGCAACGAACACACTGAGAACATTGACACACCAATTGACAAAGATTACACCACAACCGACTACAGTGAGCGACCTTAAATTACCACAAGCTGCTACTCCGCCACGCAAAATGCCTGCTGAGGTGGCGAAATGGACCTCGAGAGAGTCGCGTGACCATTACCCGCTTGTTATCTTATTTTAATCGCCAAAAACGCGGCGTACCATGCGCTATCTCTTCGCCACCTCCTCCATCAAGGTCGGTGGAGGTGGGTCATCCTGATACGATGCAAACAAATATTCATCATTCGTGCAATTTAAATTTGGACGTTTAATCATCTCGAGATATCGATGTTACATGGCGGAAAGCGCGGTAACCTTTGAAAACACTATGCGCATGGATGATTTGGATGGAGTATACGTGCCTTTTCACCCTGCGCCGGTAGTTTTCCCATTTTTAAGGAAGTGGCTAAGGCAATCGAAGAAAAAACCAACGCCTCGGCAGGCCAACTATCCGACCCAAATAAAAGTCCGTATGCTCCGCAGTCAATTTCTGTTCCATGCCGGGCTGCGTAGAGATCCGGGATTGTGGTGCGTACTCCGATGGGTTACTTCCGTACTCCGGATGATCACGATCAGACTTAGCGCGCGACCCGCTTTGCAAGATCCCAACGATTGCGTCTGTTGCAGTATTAGCTGCTGCCTTGATGGAGCGTGAGAACTAAATTACGGACCAAATTGATACCAAACAGGCTGCGCTTTATCACCAATTTATTGAGGTGCGCGCGGCAGTCTCCGGCATTATCAAAAACGGCCAACTGGGAACCGGCGCTTGACTTCTCCACCCGCGAAGGTCAACTTTTGAAAACACAGCACTGAGTGCACCTCGGTTCGGAGAATGGAAGTCTCGTCACGAGATATACCCCGGCGCCGTCGCCAAAAAGTACCCCCAAACTCGTGGACGCCTCGCGATAACAGCAGATGTCTTCACTCAATTAATGTTACGGGATTTTCCAAGCATCGAACAAATGTGTTGACTGGTTCAGTTCTTTCCGGCAGCGAGAGGGTGGAAGAGCCATAGCTTTGACCCTTCTGCAAGAATTCCATGTTGCAATTTGAGAGTCTGCCTCTACGGATAAATCATACAACACGAATTGGGGATTGGGGAACACGCTAGGCCGCACAAAGTGGACAGAGCCCGAAATTTCTCGAGGTGGAGTGGTGATGCTCTTGAACCCGTACTCGTCGATCATTACTATTAATGCGTGGTGATAGGACCGCTTAACAACATACTGGACGGCTGTTCAAATTAATATCATGGGCGAAGCCTTACAGGTGGTCAACGTTTATGATGTAAGTGAAAAAAATTAACGGGAATTTTTACTTCGAGATGATTCGGCATCAGCAACAAGGGTACGATGTATTATTAAATATGGTTGGTGACTTCAACCGCACGATGGTGCTGCATTTGACCGCTCATTCGTCTCTCCCCTGAACGACATGACTCGATTGCGCCGCGTCGACTACTTGGTTGGGCTCACCTTAGTGATAGTCTTAAAGATGACATGAAGCAAGCGGAAGATGAACGGTCCAAGCGAATTTTCATGCGACGGCAAATACTTATATTACACATTGCCAGGAGGTGGATTGGCTAGCTCGTGTCTCGATCGTTAGAATGTGAGTGTTGAACACTCGGACTGGATTCGCGGTGCCGAATTGTCGGTGCCCGGTCCTGCGGCTGACCACAATGGTATAAGCGTTACAATCGGGGCGCTGCTTCATCTTGTGCGCGCCCGCAAGCTACATCGCGTGTATCCGGTTCCGGGATGTGCTCAAGCAACCGCGATTGGCAAAATTACTGCTGCTTTTGAATTGGCGCAGCAGCAAGTGGGCAACACAGAGCGATCCCAACCTCGGTTTATCTTACGGCCAAAAGACTTGCAGACTTGTGGGACGCTTGAAAGATCTGGCTTTGTCAAATTCCGTTGGCGACCACCAAGCAGGAGCGTCAATGTTTGTTGAAAAGTCATAGGCTGCGGCTGTGTCGGTCATATCCAGCTCAGCTGGGTGCATCTTTCTCAGATGCGCGTTAGTCTGGGCATCTTAAATTCTCAACGAAGATGTGATTACTCTGTCCCCATCGATACCCCGGCGGACATTCGTATAAAGGTATCCGATTGTCGACGTCTATGGCAACAAACCAAGAAGGAGCGACTGCTTGTTTAGAACACGTGTCCTTTGGGCGAGACATTGCGTCGCTTTTACGCTCGGGTGTCGCCTGAATTTCAGGACAACACTATTGTGTTCTTGGGTTGAAAAGAAACGTACGGGTTGAATTGGTCACAGGAACTTGCTGATGAGATGGAGGATGGCTGGGAACTGATATTGACTCATTCTTTCGACCGTGTTGATGCAACATCAGCCTTTCTAAGCCGTCGAGTCACGCCAGACCCATTATACGATTCACCCGTGGCTTATTTAATAACTAAAGATAATGTCAGTGCGGCCTTGAAGAGACTTGTAATGTGGGACAGCAGCGGGGCCGGACGAGCTCATTGATACCTTTTATCAAGACTACGATCCGAGCTCGCACAAATTTTAGCCGCATTTTATGCTATATGGATGAAGTGCGGCGTGCTGCCGGAATCGTTTGGAAAACCAAACATCCAGTGCATAAATAAAAATGTGGCGTCTGCCTTGCCACTGGAGCATCGTCCGATCGCACTACTCAACAGTGACAATTTGTTGTTTACCAAGATTCTGTCGTTTCTAGTGCGGCCTCTGCTGTCCCACATCGTTTTGCCAGCCCAAATTGGATTCGTCCCGAAGCTATCGATTCACACTGCGTTGGATATATCCAAGATGGTACTCAACTCTGCGAGGGCACAGTGATCTGCACGACGCCATTGTTTTTCTACTCGATTTTGCCAAGGCTTGCAACACGCTTCAACGTCCATATCTACTTTCTGCATTAAGTTAGCTTAAATTCTCGCTCCAATTTATTTCGATAGTGTACGCATTACATCGCGGCACCACGAGTCGATTTATTGTGAATGGATGCCGCTCTCGTCAAAGGCAATTCAACTGTGAGATTTGGCAGGGGTGCCCACTTGCGCCACTTCTCTTTATCCTCGCCCTTAAAGGTGCTTATCGTGTGGTCCAAGATAGAACGGACATTCGTGGAGTGCCTTTTAACTTTGACTTGCGGATTGCTGAAATCAAAGTTTCTGGACACGCTGATGACACGGGCGTCTACTTGCGCTATCGAGACACAGTTACGAAGGTTGTAACAATTCTCGATGATTTTGCTAGATTTGTAGGCCTGCTGACGAACCGCCCGAAGTCTATGATCATTCCTCTTGCCCCTCGCCGGTCAGCATTGCCTCTGATCGCTTGTGACGTTACGCTACTGACTTTACGAGAATCCTGCCAATATCTTGGTGTATTGGTGGGCCAACAGGAGGCGGTGGCGGACAGTTGAGATAAATGATTAGGATCCCTTTGGACCCGAAAGGTGCTAGCCAGAGAGAAAACCCACATGGTGTAACGACGAGCTCGTCTTTATATTGTTATAGCGGTGACTAAGATAATGTTCTTAGCCCGGCACTTAAGAATGGTAAAAGGGGTCAAGGTCGGCGTGACCAGCAACGCCCGTTCAACGACCTCAATGACCGCAGAGATCGTCGCAACCAGCGCGGACATCATGACTCACACGAGAATCGTCCTCACAGACGGATTGTGATAGATAACAAAAAGCAAACGACCGCCATGATGATAATGGTATGTGGTGTAAGTTCCACAAAACGAAGTATCACAACTCCAGCGAGTGCTTCGCCCTGAAGAAGCAGCGCGAGGAGCACAAGCCAGCTGAGATACAGACAACAGTTTCGAGCAAGAGCAAGTATTCCAGATTTGAAAAAGAGTCAAGTGACAGTGACAGCGACAGCAACAGTGAGATGAAGCTCGTTCGTCTGGTCGCCAAGAAGCATACTAGCACCAAGCTCGCTTCGTTACGCATCAAGGTTCAGCTCAATAACGCAAACGGCACCTTTGATGCGCTACTAGACAGTGGTGCATCAATGAGCATCATCAACCAGAAGACTCTGCAGGCCAATTTCCACTTGGACGTGAAAAGTCGCATCGTCGACCAAGTTTCAGACGGTAAATGGCGAGGTGACAAGTGATGGCAGTGCAGTCGTTCAGTTTTGATTTGCATCTCTCAAGCCTTCAGCCATCATCACTCACAGGTTCGAAATTCTGGAGAAGAGCCAAGATGCTATGGTGATTGGTCGGGACATTATGACGTCATTGGGCTCGATTTAAAAGAAAAGGTTGTTCAGTGGGAGGCCACTACGCGCACCTAAATACCGGTGGGTCACACTCTTTCGAGGTGAGCGATTACGAATTTCTTGAAGAAGGCAAAGAAATTGCTGAAAGTGCAGTCCGACCAGAAGAACTCATGCCCGACACACTAAACACTCTCTCGTCGACGAATATCATCAGCTGCTTCGTGATAACAAGAGCTTTTACGATGGTCACTTGGAAAGGATGAGATTCGAAGATTACATCTAGCCTATCTCACCTGACTACAAGCCCGTTGACGCCAAGCCATATCCTGTCCCACGTAGCCTCGAAGGAAAGGCGCGAGAGCTAATTCAGCATCTTATTGGCATTGACGTGCTGGAGAAGATCTGCCCTCCTCCATCCATGGTCACTCGATTGACAATCATGATTAAGGATTTTGTTAATGGTGTCCAGGGTAATAAGCGGTCCAGACCTTAGGTCTTGTCCGAGATGGCCTCACTCCCGATACAATAGGGTGTCCTCGCGGTGCCGTGAATTACAACATAATTGATAAATATGGCGGCCACAGCTGTTGGGAAATGGGCAGCTTCAGCGTTTTCACGAGACTTACTAGATGGCGACTGCCTATGAGGCTCTACAGAGTCTGTTCCACTATACGTTAAGTCTTGTTGGAATGCATAAGAGCTCGTAAAATGTTAAGCGACTCCTTGGCAAGCCAGTATGTACAGTCCCGTATTTTTGCCCGCTCGGGATGCGCGCCAAGGTTACGTCAAGAAGGTCTGTCGAATGGCCGTGAAATTTGCTTCGAAAGCCGGGGTCGACTATAACTTTGACGTAAGTGTTGTTATCGATGTTCGACGCGTAATTGATGACAGTGTACGCGTAGGCATGCACGCTAAAGTAGCAGCTTTGGAAAGATTCTATTAATATTGGATTGAACACGCAGCGTTGAAGGATATTTCTTGGCTGCGGGACTGCAAAGGTGAACCCTATAATTTGAATGGGGCAGTTTTGCACAAGGAAAGACTTACTTGCGTGTCATAATTTCTTGGGAGGTATGTTAAAGTGGTATTGTACATTTCTCGGCACGGCTAAACATGCCAACCCATGTCTCCCCGTGCACTTGAGCCGGGTTGCTTGCTTGCGTTATTCACTAAGGTGTATCAATTTCATACCTGGAAACTAAACTGTGACGGGACATCGTTGGTGCGTTTTGATACGGGCATGGGGGGTGAAATGACACCGATCGCCGATTTCTGCATGCGATATAGCGGCGTCTTGAGCTGGCGGCATTCCTTTACACTTTGGCGCACCCCCAGCGCTCGCCCTAGTCGTACATATCTGGGCAGGCCGACGGTGCTGGAGGCCGCACTGAAGCAAAATTTAAGAACACATCTCTAAGCGCTAGGGAGATGTAGGAAAACGACTATTCAAAGGAGGGTGGAAATGCTGGACTTTTGCGTCCTTTCATAGGGACATCACTTGTTATTTGGCGCGATGTACGCCTTATACGTGCTGCTTTTCCGACCAACGCGCAAATGCTCTATCGACTGAAATACAACAGCTTCGCACTATGAAATTTGGCGAGGTAGATTTAGCATGCCCCATGCCCGGATGTGCTTGGATTCTGCCTACCGTGGCACGACATGTACATTGGACATGTTCCAGTGCGCATTGCCATTGGGAGTTTCTACCTGACAGGTGGCGACCGTTTGGTGGATTCAGCACGACGGACTCTAAGGTATGGGCTTTTAGGCTGGATCTTATAGAGATTTCACATAAAGCCTGGGAGGCCATCAGAAGATCTTTTACTCGTGTTGATGAGAATGGGGACGCGAAGGATGCGGTATATCCGGCGGCTCGGGAACTCTGGTGTTTTGCCGTATCTACGGGGATACATGTCATACAATCAGAGAGGCTTCACTGGATGGAAGACCCGGCCTGGCCAGATGAGACACACATCTCCAGAGCCAGGACACCATCGCAAAGAGCGATCTCACGATTCCGGGGGTCGAAATGCCAGCTAGACATGAAAAAACGGGCACCTATTCGCGCTGGTGAGATCTGCTTTCACGTACTCTCTTCTCTGTGTCGACGAACCACCGGCCATGCAACAGCTACCCATCGACCGATGCCTGGGTGTGATCTATATGCTATTTTCGACGATTTGATTTCAGGAAACCAGATACCAGGCGGATCTGGGTCCGTTAATTTTCAACTCAACATTCCGGCTCACGCCGCTTGCTTTCTGTGGATTTCGAGCATGGCGCTTAGTGCTGTCGATACCACAGACAATGAAGCGGAATACTGGGCACTTTTGCATGTTCTTCGTTTGGCGAAGGAATCTCGATACTCTCCATTGCATGTCGTCGGGGATAGTGCGATCGTGCTCTCACAACTTCGGATCCATCATCTCCCGTCAAAATTAAGCTTGAGGCCACTAGTTTGAGCAGCATGAGCCATACCAGACGATATTCCAGTCTCGAGCTGGGGACATCACTATCGCCTTAACAACAAAATGGCGGATCGACTAGCCAATATCGCAATGGGTACAAAGGACTCTATTTTAGTCTATGCTTCTGGTGGATACAGGGCTGTTTCGGAAGCTACGGCCTTCCTTCACAACGTAACCAACCACTGGATGGAGGCATCACACGCAGAACAACAAGATCTACAGGAAACCGCGATGACTCCGAAGAACTCAATGATCTCACGACGAGATCTAGTGAGCAGGCAATCGGCCGTACGAGGACTAGTCATTTCTATTCTCTAAAGTAGACGTCGATCTGGTAAAAATGTTGCCGGGCGGTAGGATGTAATGGGTTGCACGCGTTCCTGATTATATCTCACCTTCCAACTCACTCTAAAAGTCGCTGTAACGGGTGAGCCTGTTACTTATAATTAGCTCGATACTTGTCGATTAGAGTATGGTCATAAGGTTGAAAGTGTTCGTGAGTATTGTCGTGAGGGGTAATATTTAGACACACTAACCGATTGGTTGATACGGGCCATCGTATCAGCCAGCTCTAGCGGTTCAATCGACGATGGACGCGCGGAATGAGTGGTGAGCAAGACTTTAGCATGCACTTTGTAGATAAGTATAATTAAGTCAGGACTAAACATAGGTACATGTAACTGGAACTTCATTGCATTTAATACAGTTTCTACTCCTATTGAACGCTTGGTTCACTTGCTAGCCTTCCTCTGCACGTACCTCGTACTTGACGTAGCACGCGACACCACTGTGGTAAAGCAGGCCAAGACAATTTGGGCGATCGTTGCTGCGGCAAAGCGGATCGAAACAATGGAGGAGATCGTTGGGTGGAGTGATCGCAAATCACGACAAATCGCTGAGAAGGAATGATTGGTTGTTAAGTTGCGGGATGTCGAGATCGAAACAATGGAGGAGATCGTTGGGTGGAGTGATCGCAAATCACGACAAATCGCTGAGAAGGAATGATTGGCTGTTAAGTTGCGGGATGTCGAGATCGAAAACCACAACAGCGAGATCGATTATCACGACAACGAGATCGAATATCACAATAAGGGGATCGAATTTCACAATAGAGGGATCGATTATCACGACAACGAGATCGAATATCACAATAAGGGGATCGAATTTCACAATAGAGGGATCGAATATAACAATAACCAGATCGAAAATCACAACTAGGCGATCGGCGATCGGGGAGATCAGCGATCGGCCAAAGTGATCGACCAAGGTGATCGACGAAGGTGATCAGCGATCGGCCAAGGTGATCGACGATCGATCGAGTGATCGACAATTGGGATGATCAGCGATCGGTCAAGTGGTCGACGATTGGGAAGATCAGCGAGCGGCCAAGGTGATCGACGAGCGATCAGGGTGTGGACCACATATGCTAAAGGACGATCAACGAAAGGTAGAAGACACATGGCGGCATATCCTGGCATACAAACAGGCATACTCGCAGTTTTTAGATTTTGGTTGGTGGACATTAAACAGAATTCTTTTTACTTCTAAGTACACGTGTCAACTTCTCTTCCGGGCTGGAATATTGGCCTCCCGACGTCAAGAAAGTTTCGTATACTTTAATCAAGTGATATCCCCAGATAATTGGCTGGGGATCAAGAACTCTCAAAACAACCCCAACTGCGATCGGACGCAGCAAGAACGTAAAGGACAAGGCGCAAGATCGCGAGACGGCTCAAGTGGTCAGAAGGCTCGCATCAAGCAACAACATATTGGACAAGGCGATCTCTTAGAGATCTAAGTGGCTTACATCAAGTAGCCTACAAGTACTACCGTGATCGTGTGAAGATTTCCGCCCGATCACAAACCCCATTCCAAACACGGTCAAGTTTTCTCTCGAAGCGAGTCCACCGAGAAGAGTGCAGCCCGCCCTACCGACGGGTACACAAGGTGAGGAAGGAAATACAAGACACGGAAACGGAGTACCCCCTCCGATATTCGGTCGTCTGGGCACCAGTGGAGAGTCGAGATCGCCTCATAAAATGAGCGATCGCCGCTCCACCACAGTGGTGCGCGTGCCCGGATTCGAACCAGAGATTTCACCGTGAGTGTCTGAGCGAAGATGAGAAGGTCAAGATTGAACTTGGAATGGAAGCGTATGAGGAAGAGGGATCGCCGCAGACGCGTGATGATAAAAGATCCCCAGATCGTCAGAGTTTTGGGAGGGGCTCTGATGACAAGAAGATTAAAGAGGAAGATCGAGCGATCGATCTGGAAGAGAAACCTCGACACCCTCCTGAGGTCCCTTCGGGGACCACCGCGGATCGTGCTGCAAGGCACAATCCGCTGGGTGAAAACCCTTCAGCGAAAACTGAACAAAACTAAACAAGACCACTCAAGCGAAGTCAAAGAAGAAGATTGTGAAGACAGCTCGAGTGAAGAAAGAAGAGACACGATCAGATCGAACTGATCGCGAAATGAAATCGATCATTCGACCAATCAAGCTCATTGATGATGACATGAATATGGAAGGCTCGAAGTTGGACCAATTGGCACAGGGATATCACTGGAAGGCACTCAAGAATCTGCTATCGAGCGATCCAGTGCTGCAGATTATAAAGCCCAAGCTGATCGGAGAAATTCAAGGTCCGATTTCCCCGCCGAAGGTGACGACAAACCCGTTGGACGGGATCAATGCGATCATTCAGCTACTACATGACGCTGGATATGTCGCCGGAGTGTTCGATGCGAACAAACTGTTGGAGTGCGATCAAGATCAGGTGATTCACACGTGTTGATCGCTATATAACAAGTTGGCTCCCCTAACGGGTAAGTGCGAACCCAACGATCAAGCAGCCGCTGCGATCGCCGATACCCCGAGAGGATATCATACTGGATCGTCGCAGTACGCCTCAGCTGAGTCTGAAATGGAATCGGATGATTCGATCGGTATTCAGCGAATGTCTCTCGGCCCAAGTGGTGCTGCACATTTGCGTGATCAAGTCGATGCGATCAAGTGCGAACCGCGATCGGCGATCGCATGCGCTAAAGAAGAGATGACGTCAGCTATGCACGGACACCTACAAACATACCTGAAGGAGGCCATGGAACGTTTTCACCAAGATCAACGAGAACAAGCGTATCAAGCAATCTACCCAAGCCAAAGAATCAAGCCGGCAAGAGTCCAAGAAGTGCATATCCCAGATGTTGAGATGTAATCGGTGCGATCGCATCGCAGTCGATATAACAATTTCGATTTCGACGATGCCGATCCCGACGATTCGGGCCAAGAAGAGCGGCGACGTGCTATGGTAGCCACCACAGAGACGTTTCAAAACGGTGATAGTATCCCTCAACGCGTTCGAGTATCCGCGATGACAGAGCTGAAGGAATTCAGCGGCAAGGATCGAGATGAAGATCGAGCCAGAAGCTGGACCAGAAAAGTCAATTCCGCATTTCTACCCGATCAGGCACCAGATGTAGAAAAATGTCTGGTATTTGGCGATCTGTTGACGGGACCTGCTCGTAACTGGTACAATCAACTAAGCCGATCTACACGACACAAGTGGAAGCGATTTCTAGATTGTTTTATGATACAATATGGAGGGCAAGGTGTGTCAGTGGCCAGACAGTATTATCTCGCAAGGAAGCGATCTGATGAAACCCCGTTGGAGTACCTACATCGTCTTAATGTCGCGGCCAAGCTTGCCAAGATCGCGATTAAAGAAGAAAGACTGGCTACGGCAGCCACGCGTCGCGAACATGTGGAACATTTCATCGCTACGCTGGACGACCGTGATTTGGCGAAACAGCTGACTTTGCTGAGATTGAGGGATATTGATGAGATGGAAGACACTCTCCGTGCATGCCAACGAATGGAGAATCTTCAGATAAAATCGACGATGGGATCAAATAAATTCCACCAGCGATCAATCGCACCTACTAACCCAATGGCGTCCAAGACGACTCGGGTGATGCGATCGATACGCGAAAAAGTCGAAAGCAGTGGATCGGAATCGGAGTCGATCGGATCCGAAGAGGAAGTGGATCGTCGTCGCGTTTGTGTGACAACTACACCCGACCCAGAAAAAAACAAACAAGGATCATCGCACCTGGCAGAAAAACACTGGCGAAGAAGAGGGACGCGATCAAAGTGGACGATCGAAGGAGTGCACCCATTGTGGATCTACCAGACACGATGATCAAGGGTGTTGGAAGCGATTGACGTGCCAGAAGTGTGGGCGCAAGGGACACCCTTCTGACAAATTTTTCTTTGTGTGTGCAGCCTGCGGGGAGATACACGAGAGTGGCAAGTGCCCCATGGAAGAATTCTTCAATTTGATCCGAAAGTGGTACGTGCCTACGAAGCATGCTGGGATGTTTCCACCCAAGGTGGAGGGGATGTTAAACTAGAACGCTCGCCAGGTTGGAATCTGGCACGAGCCGAGCGTTCTAGGCTTTGCATTTATGCATTTGTGGAAGGACCAAGGAGAGATCAAGAGGTTAACGATCAGATCGATCCGATCGCTATTATGCATAAAAATTTAACAATGGTCTCGTCAGTGTCAAGTGTAAAAAGAGTGGATGATTACGCTTGATCGCCTGTGAGGATGGAGCTCGACCTTGCGCCAGGAGAATCGCGCGGATATTGGAAATACCACACTCCCGGAAAATGGTTCAAGCAAGCTAAAGCGATGGGCAAGATCAACAACGAGAAAGCTACGATGCTGTTCGATTCTGGCGCTGAAGTGTCGATCCTCGATACTACCTTCACTCGTAAGGTAGGATGCGTGATCGACGACTATCAAACTCAAGAGTGCGTTGGAATTGGAGAAAACACGTATATGACGGTAGGACGGACGAAGATTAAGATCACGTTGGACGGATCACTGGTTCATTATTTCGACGTTTGGGTAGGTGATCAAGTCGGCCAAGTAGTCATACTGGGTATGGATTTTATGGTTCCTGCGGGCATCCGTTTGGATTTAGCCGACGGGACATTATGTCTACCTGACGAAGTGCGAATTAATTTGGCAGGACGGAAGCCACCTTACCGATCGACTATACAAGCGATCAACCTGATAGATCAACACGTGGTCATACCAGTGGGCAGATCTACAGAGGTACGAATTGGAGTCTGTCCACCTAAAGCTAAACTTTGGGTGAGACGAGGCGTGGCGTGGGTGCCGACGGTCACTTGTGGACGCGGCCAAATAAAGTATTTGCAGCTCACGAACCTCAGCGATCGTGAAACAATTTTAATCCAAACGGATGCCCGCAGGAACCATAAAATCCATACCCAGTATGACTACTTGGCCGACTTGATCACCTACCCAAACGTCGAAATAATGAACCAGTGATCCGTCCAACGTGATCTTAATCTTCGTCCGTCCTACCGTCATATACGTGTTTTCTCCAATTCCAACGCACTCTTGAGTTCGTTGGCTTTGTAGATGACATCGAACATGATACCTAGATCACCAGGGTATGTATCGATCGGATCGAGGCGATATACAGAATGGCAAACACTAGCGTTTGAAGCGACCACAGAACGAGAGGAAGAGACAGTGGAAGAGTATACAGGGCCGTTGGTGGATCATCCTGTGTACGAAATACCCACCAGAATTCTACCCCGCCAAACGACAGAAGTATTGGATAAGAGTATGTCGCAATCGGACCAAGAAAAATTCGACAGAAGCATGGGGCAAGATCAAGCTATGGACAGAAGACACTCGACGGAAGAAGATCAACGATTGACAAAGATAACTTCTGCGATCTACACGATTGAAGAGACTGTAAACGCCGATCGAGGACAAGATCAACCTAGCGAAGCGATCGGAGATGTGAAGGAAATCGCAACGGACGAGATCAGACATGTAGAAGCTGATCTGTTTCATAAACGGTCCAGGTATCAGTCAGACGCGATCGAAATGAGAGATGGTGAATTTCAAGGACAGGCCGATCAATTAGTCGAAGACTGCAAAGTGGTGAAGATCGACACACCTGCGGACGATGAGATCGTGAGACCTCCGACAGGGATCGATGTGATCGAAACAGGGTACGAGAGTGATCGAGGTAGAGATAGACCGAGGCAGACAGGACAGAAGTCGGGCGACATTGAAGATAACAGGTATGAGGTAACAGATCCTGTCCATAAACAGTCCAGCCGTCAGCCTGACAGGATTGAGAGTGAAGATTGTGAGCTACAAGATCAGGTGGATAAACAGACAAAAAAAATGGACTGCACCAAGACCGACGAAGAGACGACGAAAGATGAGTTGACGCCATCACCGATGTATCACCACGATGCCGGCGAACTGTTCGCAGAAGATGTGGATCAACACCTAGCTGTTCATCCCGAAGTCGTTACACCTACACAAGATATAACGATCGATGATATCCAAGTAGGTGATCCCGGCATTCCAATAACCGAAGATCAAGAGAAATTACGACAAATGATTTGTAAGAGCCGGCACCTACTAATTGGAAAAGGCAACGCCCTACCCCCTGCGGCGAGCGGCGCAGTCTGTGACATTGATGTGGGAGGAGCTAGCCCGATCGCACAACGGGTCCGACCGGTAGCTCCAAAGTTCCGAGAAAAACTCGCTGATCTGATCAAGGGACTGCTGTCGGCCAAGATCATTCGACCATCTACATCACCATGGGCATCCCCTATCGTGGTAATCATCAAGAAAAACGGAGAAGATATAAGGCTGTGTATTGATTACAGGAGGGTGAATCAGCTGACTAGGTTGATGGTGTATCCGATGCCACTGATCAGCGAACTATTGCAAGACATGGATAAAGCTATGTGTTACTGTTCATTGGACATGGCAAGTGGTTTCTGGGTGGTGGAGATGATGGAAAGAGCAAGGGCAATCTCCGCTTTTATCACGCCATTTGGGTTGTTTGAGTGGTTACGGATGCCTTTAGGGTTGAAAAATGCTCCGCAAATCTACCAACGTTTGATCGATAACGCCCTCTATGGGTATTTGAAGATCGACCCAAAGTCGGAATCGACTGTGGTAGGGTCGCCGAAGTTGATAGATGTCTTCACCGATGGGGAACCGGATATGGATCCAAAACCATCAGTGTTGGGTCGAAGATCCTACATTGACGACATATTAATACCGGCTACGTCGTGGAAAAACCTGTGTGGAAAAGTGGAAAGATTGTTGGAGGTGTGCGATAAGTGGAATTTGTCGATCAGTGTGGTCAAAAGATTTTGGGGCCGTCGCAAGGTGGAATATCTGGGGCACCAAATCTCACTCGCAGGGTTGGAAGCTAATCCAAAAAACCTGGAATCATTGGTGAACATCCCGTTCCCTCGCACACTGCGATCGATGCAGTCATTTTTGGGAAGTCTTAACTCTTACAGCAGGGTTATTGAAGACTTTGCAATCTACGCATGCGTGCTATATAAGCTGCGGGAGGCGAATTTTCATGAGATCAGCCGTTTGAGTGAAGATCCGACGCCTATCGCAGCCGTAAGACCTGATGACGCTCGCGAAGGAAGAGTGAAGGGCGATCGTGATTTGTGTCCAAAAGCTGAGATCGATCGCGATTTGTACCCAATTGTGGGGGGCGATCGTGATTTGTGTCCAAAAGCTGAGATTGATCACGATTTGTACCCAATTGTGGGAAGCGATCGTGATTTGTACTCAATTGTGGGGGGCGATCGGGATTTGTGCCCAAAACTTGAGATCGATCGCGATTTGTACCCAATTGTGGGGGGCGATCGTGATTTGTGCCCAAAACCGGAGATCGATCGCGATTTGTACCCAATTGTGGGGGACGATCGGGTTTGTGCCCAAAACTTGAGATCGATCGCGATTCGTACCCAATTGTGGGGGACGATCGAACGCCTGAGACCAGGAACCGATGGGAGAAGGAGATAATCGCATTCACATTGCTGAAAGCTAAGATAGCCACAACTCCAATCTTATAACATTTTGATCCCGATCGGTCTCCTGTGATCGTGGTGTACGCTAGTAAGTGGGCCGTATCAGCTGCTCTACTACAAGAATATGATGGTGTGTATTGGCCTGTCACGTTCTCTAGTCGTACGCTAAAGCCCAATGAGGTCAACTACGGGATGGTGGAGAAAGAAGTGTTGGCTCTCCTCCGGATGCTAGATATCTGCTATACTATGCTAGTATCCCGTGAGATTACGGTACTTACGCAGGATTCGACACTAGCATGGTTGTTACAATCTTCAGGCCTTAATGGAAGATTGGGAAGATGGGGCTGCCTTACTATCGAACTGGACGCTGGAGATCAGACGATCTGAGAAAGGGGAAGATGAAAATACTCGGTATGTTGGCTGCAAGTATAACACCTCGCGAAGAAGTAGACGAAGTCTTGATTGCGATCGCCCCGAGGAAACAGCCAAGGCAGACCATAAGTATGCCACCACCCACAGTGAAAGTGAGTGAAAGCCTGCTAGTAGCCAGTTTCGATGGATCAGCCAGGGTGAAAAGAAAGGGCGGAGCATACAGCGCGATCATATGGAAACTGCCGGAATGGACGATTGTGGCCGCGGCTTCGGAGTAGCTTTGATTTGCTCGCAGATCAGGCCAGGGGACGGGTGATTATCTGTGGAGATTCAAATTTGGTGATCTGTCAAATGTGAGGAGAAATAGACTGTAAAGCGCCGGGGCTGCAATTGCTGAGGCACAAGGCTATGGAGAAATTGCGATCGTGGCCTTCACAAGAGTTTCTACACATGAAGCGAGATTGGAATCAGAGCGCAGATCGACTGGCGAGTGAAGCTCTACAGCAAGAGAAAGGGACAGTTGTGTTTTCCGATCAAGAGCGACAGGATTTGATTACACTCAATCGGCTAAACGAATTGCTACTACCAGAACGAGTCGGTCGTGCGGTAAAAGTGACAGCTATCACTCGATCAGCCCAGAGAAGACGTTGTCAGCCCCGGATTTTACAGGAAGAAGTTGTGCGGCAAATACGGATTGGTCGTATTAAACAAGCACAAGACGAAGAAAGCTGGATATCGAGTCTGAAGACATATCTGGTTGGAGACATGGCTAAGCTATCGGCCGATGAGGCTAAAATGTGCCCCCTGATCGCGCCGGACTATGAAGTAGATCAGAGTGGGTTGCTATTTTTCTGTCCGCGATCGAACACCGAGGTTGACGATCGTACCGAACTGGCTCGGTTGGTGGTCCCAGAACAGTTACAGCAAGATTTCTTGCACCACTACCATACCAGTTTGGAGGGTGGTCACCAAGGAATCGGCCGTACATATCAACGGATCAGGACGAATTTCCACTGGCGTGGATTGTACCGGAGCGTGCAGCGCTATGTGGGAGAATGTGTGGATTGTGAAACAGGAAAGGGACGACCGGTGGATCGAGGTGGATCACCTGGTAATATGCAGTCGACGTACCCTTTTCAGATTATAGCTATGGATCACATCCCTTCGTTGCCAAGATCTGTTAAAGGGAACACCGAGCTGTTGCTCTGGGTCGATTTGTTCTCGGAATACGTGATCGCAAAGGCAAGCTCGTCCAGATCAGCCCAGACGATCGCCGAAAGTTATGAGGAGTGCGTGTTCAGACGATTCGGAGCGAGCGAGGCGATACGTCATGATCGTGAGCCGGGATTTATGTCTGATTTCTTCCGAGCGTTCAATCGAATCGCGGGACAAAAACAGCGAGCCACTATGGCATATAAACCGCAAGCTAACGGTACGGCCGAACGCATGGTGCAGACGCTGACTCGATCGATTAAGATGTACGTTATGGATGAAAACCAATAGGACTGGGACGAATACGCGGAGCGATTGACTTATGCGATCAATACCGCTCACGTTCGAATCCGGGGAGATACGCCTTTCTACTTGATCCACGGTTGGGATCCAAGATCGACTTTGGAAGCGACCCTACCGTTGGGAAGCACCAAACCCCGGGATCGAGATGCGCGAAGATGGAGATATGGTATACAACGTCAATACCAACGTGCTCGAACAGTAGTGAATGGACGACTGAAGGATGCGATCAGAGGCCGAGCCGATCGACATAACGAAGACAGAGAGTTGCGGGATATCGATCGTGGGTCACGAGTTTGGTTATATCTGGACCGAGTTAAGGAAGGATACGCACGAGAATTGGCCCATATGTGGCATGGACCTTTTCGAGTGGCTGAGAAGTGCGGCGATCATGCAGTAAAGTTGGACATCGCAGGCACGCCGTACAGACTATTCCCAATAGTCCACGTATCTAAGCTGAAGCTTGTTCGCGTATTCCTGGAACGTCCAACAGGCAGTTTGATTGTGGAGGAGGTAAGTCGATTGGATTTTGATGAAGCACTGCTGCCGGAAGATAGCTGGGAGGGTAACCTAGAAGTGGACGAGTTTGAAATCGACAAGATCCTTTATGTGCGCTCAGGACGGAAGACGAGATATGGCCGAATCCATAAGCAGTACCTGGTACAGTGGAAGGAATACGACGATCCAACCTGGATTGATGAAGCTGATTTAAACTGTGGAGCTCTGTTACAGGATTTCGATCGCGATCGGGTTAGCAGGAATCGCTTCGAGGCAATGCAATCACACGAAGAAGAAGCCCGAAAATAGCGATGAACAGAAATCTGGAGTGGAATGGGTCTATGCAGAGACGGTGCATGGACGAGGAGGAGAATTTGGGGTGCAAGGAGGTTGCACATGGAGATGGAAGGGGATTTATGTAATGTGAGTATGGCGATCGCAGATCTAATGGTGAGATCACGATGATTAGAAAGGAGGGAGAAACAAGAATTATGGGAGCGATCGAATGGAAATGAGAAGAAAGTATATCGAGAGTTCGCGTTATGGAACAAATCAAAGAGATTACTCGCGATCGAAGAATTTACCAATCAAGCGAGGAAGTGACGACCCAGGGTGAGCTGTGATCGAAGGACGAAACTGGGTCCTCCAACGCTCGGTGGCATGATCGATCGACAAAGCAGTGATCAAGTTAGGTATGCTGGTCCGGTTCGCAGAAAGGCCGGGATACCACACTCTAGTCTCATTCGGACATGGAAAGTGCAAGAACATGGGGTCCAATAAAATGTCCAAATCGCAGAGACCGTCGATCATGCCTTGAAGAATCAGCTGCAGTACTCGTTTCCAACGGGGCCCAGCGCGAGATCGTCTCTGCCTTCTTGCACGCGCAAATGCTTCCAATCCAGGGTCCGTTCTACGTTGCTCAGGAGATATCCACAAGAAATGGGTTGATTCCCACAGAGCTTGGCGATGACTATCCACAAAGCGGTTATAGGCTTCGACCAATTTTTCGAACCAGCCGGAAGTTTTGAAGGAGATCGGGGGTATGACTTGATCATAAATGTCCCACGGTTGTTGATCGTAAAATTGATCAATCTTGGCCGACGTGATCAAATGGGATGACCAAGATGACTCCGGAGGAGGGTGAGCTTTGCCTAGCCGGACTGGAAAGATGTACCCTTTCGGTTTGGAAAAGTGGCGATAGAACAAATCTATGTCCAACTCGGATACGCTGATCAAGCTCACTCTTCGGGCGGACCAAGGGAACACATCAACCGCTGATCGTGAAACTCGATCGCGATACCCCGGAATCCAACGATCGCGGGGTATGCGGGTGTCGGAAAGCGCCACGAAATCTGCAGGTGTCAACAAGGAATTCCGGGGACTCCGAGGATCACCAGAGAGACTGAGATCGCTTTCGGAGTCGCTGGTAGGCTCTCCGAATAAATCCACCAAAGACACTCCCGATGTATTATCGTGAGGTTCATGTTCCGGACTGGAGGAATCGACATTCACCGGTGGAGGGCTCGGAGTAGACGATGGTTTTTTTAGGGGACGACGTGTTTCTACGACGGGCAGTCGAACGAGATGACGACAACGCCGCCAACAAGGAATCATCGGTCTCATCGGAAGAAGAGTTCTTTGGATCGCTGTCCTCAGATGATTCCGACGATGACGATCTTGAACCAAACGGATCGGGAGAAGCCGATCGACGTGGCGAGGATCCGATATATCGGGCACGCCTGGCTTGGGATTCCCTGGACGGGGAAGCAGGAGGCGATCGCTTAGGTTGACGTGGAAAATTCTTCGGGGAAGACTCGGCAGGTGCAGGCAGAACACTTGGAGAAACACTGGCGACCACCTCTGTCAAGCGAGCGAAGAGCGAATTTTTCGACTGGAGTGCCTGATCGCGCTCTACCTCCAATGCACTTATTTTCTGGGACAATCGGCCACGATCGGCATCTCGATCGGCGAGCTCAGACTTAAGCCGATCGTGCTGACTCTTGAGATCCGAAAGTCGGGCCGTGAGGCGATCGCGCTCAGTCTTGACTGTACCCAAGTCTCGTTGGGTCATGGCCAACTCCCGCATTATCGCTGATTGGCGGGTAGCAAATCGAGTCTTCGCCTCTTCGATCTGGAGTTTCGCCCGGTCGTCAGCCTCCTTGGAGGATGCAATCGCTGATTGTAACTCGTTTTCAAGTGAAGCCAGTTGACGCCGATGCTTCTCTTGTTCGGCATGGAGGGTCTTTTTACGCTGCAAGATGGAAGACTTCAGGATCGGAATTTCCTGTAGACGTTCCGCTTGAACAGCCAATTCCTCTTGGAAGTCATCGTTCTTCTTCTCGGCATCGGCCAACGAGTTACGCAACGCGTTGTACCGCTTGTTCACATATTGCCGGATCGGTCTTGCTAATTCTTGAACGTCGTGCAGTTGGCGTTTCAAGCGAGCGCCGCGAATTTCCTGAGCTCTCAACTGATCGTGTATTGCACAATAGCTGGCTAGCTGGTCTTGACCAGCCTCAGCGCAGTCGTACAGATCGTTGATATACACTTGTAAAGTGTGCCGATCGATCGCAGGAAGGACGTTCACGCGACCACTCGGGAACGACGACGAAGAACGCAAAGGGATCGCGGCTGGTGGCGAGGAGCTTGGAATTTCCACCGGATCCGGGCGAGCGATCAACCGATCGTTAGAGTCGTCCATGAAGAATAACGCGTATAGCCGGAAACGTGGATATGGAGATTACTTCAGACGAGTGCACAGATATACCAACACTGTATGTCGGCTATCAGTTCAGGGGACGGCTGTGGTAAAGCAGGCCAAGACAATTTGGGCGATCGTTGCTGCGGCAAAACGGATCGAAACAATGGAGGAGATCGTTGGGTGGAGTGATCGCAAATCACAACAAATCGCTGAGAAGGAATGATTGGCTGTTAAGTTGCGGGATGTCGAGATCGAAAATCACAACATCGAGATCGATTATCACGACAACGAGATCGAATATCACAATAAGGGGATCGAATTTCACAATAGAGGGATCGATTATCACGACAACGAGATCGAATATCACAATAAGGGGATCGAATTTCACAATAGAGGGATCGAATATAACAATAACCAGATCGAAAATCACAACTAGGCGATCGGCGATCGGGGAGATCAGCGATCGGCCAAAGTGATCGACCAAGGTGATCGACGAAGGTGATCAGCGATCGGCCAAGGTGATCGACGATCGATCGAGTGATCGACAATTGGGATGATCAGCGATCGGTCAAGTGGTCGACGATTGGGAAGATCAGCGAGCGGCCAAGGTGATCGACGAGCGATCAGGGTGTGGACCACATATGCTAAAGGACGATCAACGAAAGGTAGAAGACACATGGCGGCATATCCTGGCATACAAACAGGCATACTCGCAGTTTTTAGATTTTGGTTGGTGGACATTAAACAGAATTCTTTTTACTTCTAAGTACACGTGCCAACTTCTCTTCCGGGCTGGAATATTGGCCTCCCGACGTCAAGAAAGTTTCGTATACTTTAATCAAGTGATATCCCCAGATAATTGGCTGGGGATCAAGAACTCTCAAAACAACCCCAACTGCGACCGGACGCAGCAAGAACGTAAAGGACAAGGCGCAAGATCGCGAGACGGCTCAAGTGGTCAGAAGGCTCGCATCAAGCAACAACATATTGGACAAGGCGATCTCTTAGAGATCTAAGTGGCTTACATCAAGTAGCCTACAAGTACTACCGTGATCGTGTGAAGATTTCCGCCCGATCACAAACCCCATTCCAAACACGGTCAAGTTTTCTCTCGAAGCGAGTCCACCGAGAAGAGTGCAGCCCGCCCTACCGACGGGTACACAAGGTGAGGAAGGAAATACAAGACACGGAAACGGAGTACCCCCTCCGATAGTCGGTCGTCTGGGCACCAGTGGAGAGTCGAGATCGCCTCATAAAATGAGCGATCGCCGCTCCACCACACCACCTGCACTGCTGTCATTGTGGGTGCACTAGTACTGAAGAAGTACTGGTGACCATCGCCCCATTACAAAAATAACATCACGTCCTTGTATAAAAATTTGCATTTTAGTCATTTCTGAATTTTAATGAATGGCTGTGCTCGATTCCCGCCCTGCAGGGGGGGGGCTGTGGGGGGGTTGCCGCGGGCGGGCTGTGCTCCCAGCCACCTGTTGTGGGAACGGAAGGCACAGGAAATAAGTAAACGCATCTTTGTATCATAAGCCGCAGCCGTAGACGTAGACAATTGGTGCTGATATTACTAAAAAAAATTGATATTGCGCTGTGATTGTTTGTATTGTTTTCTGATTTGATAATTGGCACGATTGTTATTTTTGTGTCAGCTGTTCATTTCGTTGTTGCTAGCAGCCGCTGCTGTTGTAGCCGTTGTTACTGTAAAATTTTACATTGTTCTGTAAAATACTAAGAGCACATAATAGAAAAGAATTTGCAAATGAATGCGTGCCAGAAGCGTTTCGGCCCGCCGCCGCGGGCCTCCTCATTGGCTTTCCAAATGCAAAGTGAGTCTTCACAGTGCAGCGGCCTCTGCCGCTACCGCACATTTCCCCACGCATTGAACATTCTAGAACTATCTTTTATGAGGGCCAATCTGGCACTATCTAGCAGACGTCACCGCCGTAAGACTAGTGCTCGGCTAGGTACGGAATACCGCCATCCAAAATGTTCCTGTTGCTTCTATAAGTGCTGCTGCTGGTGGTGGTGCTGTTTCTGCTGCTTATCTGCTGCTACTGCTTCAATTGCTACTACTGCCCTTGCTAATGCTATCAGCATTCTTGTTGTCAGTACTATATTATAATGTTTATGTTGATACTACAGTTCTGATGTTATATTTGAGGGAATATGAAGTCGTTTTCTACTCGTACGTTATAGTCATTTTAGCATATTTGACCAAAAAATCGAGCATGATGAATTCGTTTTACATTTTGGACTCTCATTTACTACTTCGAAGGCTGTAATAGTGCTGATGGCGACATTTTAGTTCCGTTGCAGGATTTTCTTAGTTCTGCTTATTGCGAGCCCAAAGGGTAAAGCTATAAGTGTATCGACGCAATGGTCACCAGTACTGCTTCTGTAACGGGGTGAATCGTTACATAACAATTTATAAGAAATTGTTAATAGAATATAACTATAAGAGTTATATTCTCAGAATATTGTCATAAGGACAATATTCTGTAGCACTTCCAAGTAGTTCCTAATTGGTTGATATAGGCCATTATATCAACCAACGAAGACGCGCCACGACAGACGCACGCAATGAGTGGTGAGCAGA